TTTGTGAAGAGCGAATCAAGCAAATCAACGATTTGTTGACGCCCCCTATTTGATCTTCGAGTCGAGTCTACTGAGACGGCCAAAGCGGTGAGGCATGCAGAAATTTTATTTTCTTCACTGCATGGTAAGTCTTTCCAGGTCTTTCCTTGTATTTTTCTCCACGATAATAGTAAATCAGATGTTTGAATGAACATAATTCGTTGATAAAGCCAGGGCGGTGCTAGAGGTGGGGGGGGGGGACCCCCGCTGTAATCTCCCTGTCGGGAAAGATCAAACCTCGAGCGTCGAAAGTAGGCCTATAACATGCCTTCAACTAAGCTTTCAACATTTCAAGGGTTATAAAAACTGTTTAGTGCGAGCAGTGCTACCATATGTGCGAGGTATCAGGTCCTTAGCCAGGTTCTTCCAAGGTGGATTCTATGGGCGTAGGGTCCAGAGTCGAAGCAAAGTTTGAAAAAGGTCTGCATTCCGTCTGAGTCTAGGTTGGTCTGCAGTGCATTAGTTGCATTGAGGACTCGTTTGGGAAATTTGAGGGTGGGGATTCGCCAGAAAAATAGGGTTTGCTAGAAAAGGGGGATTCACCCGAAACATAAAACCGTCCCTGGTTACGGGCCTGTATATACTATTTCGATCGTATGGGTTGCAGTGATACACCAGCTCTTCCCCGACAGAGACTGGCACCTTCCCGACAGGGAGACTAGTGCCCCTAACGTCCTTTTTAAATGAAGAATCCCATAATTAGCACAACATTTTATTATCTTTTAATAAAAAAAAAATCTCCGACAAATTTATTTTTTCCCCAATCGGGGAAGGGGGAGGGGGGTGGCTAGGGGAGCTTGGACCCTTCGTCCAGGAATTCCTGCATGAAGCAGACGTATTTTTTGATTTAATTTGTTCAGAATCGCCACATTTATTATAAAATTATCACAAAATATTTATAATAGATTTTAATTGGCTTTTGCATAGATTTTTTATTTTGAATTTTATTTGGAATGATATTCGTTTACTACTGCATATTTTCAAAACCAGATGTTGCGTATTATATATTCATCTAGTTTGTTTTGTTTTTTCATTTGACAGAACCACAAATTTCGCTCTCTTCGTTCACGACCCCGCCCTCTATATTTTCACCATTGTGAGATGGTTAGTATGAAGCTCTAAATCTGCCCCTTGACCCACAATTTTGTTTGGTAGTCAGGATGAACTTTGTTTGTAATTTGAAATACACGCATTAGTACCTTCTTCATGAGGGATATTAGTAATAAATGTCGAAACAAGTGTAGACAGAACAGAAAGCCTTAGGACTCAGCATTTTGAATGTTTAATATCCGAATTATTGATCTGGCTATCCTGGATTGGTCGGCAATCCGCTATAACTTTAAAATACAGGTGGGAAACATTCACATAATGCGGTTTTGAAGGCAAGTTTTGTTGTGGCGCGCGACAATGTGTGCGGCCCGCCTAAAAAATTTGCTAGAACTGAAAAACTTATGATATTAAAACTGAGTAGGTCTAGACGCAGGGTTCCCGGAACGCCGCCCTCAGCGGTGAGTGCGAAGCACAACTAAGGGTCAAAGTGGAACGTGAAATTTCGATATGGTTTCTAGTCAGATTTTCGAGAAAAACTTCAGCTACCCGTATTTCTCGACTGAGACGTCAGTGGGAGCTGTAACTTGTACGGCAAGGAGATTGTGCAACCCTTAATTCGTTTTAAGGGAATTTACGCCAAGAAACCTCGTAGTTATTAATATTTTGGTTATAATAAAAAATATTCATTTTTGGTGACGTCACACTCAATAATTAGTTAGCATGCATACGTCATAAGCTAGATTACGTCACCTTTTCCTGGTAAGGCCAGGGAGTTGTTAACAACTCCCTGGTAAGGCAAACTTTCCCGGCGTGCTTTTTTCATGGATAAACAAACACCACTGCTTTGCACATGGATGCCTTGCCTTGCTAGGCTACAAGAGCCGCATTTTTGCATTGTATAATACTTAAACAAGCTACCTCTGCCACTAAATTACTCTTAGTTATTTGCTTTTTTTTCTGCTTCTTATTTTAATTTCTTTCTTTCGAAAGTGTACTTTCTATCACATATAATTGCACTGCCTAGTTAGGCCTGGGCGTAGGCCTTGTCTTATTGTGCCTCATCATCCCCTACGCCGTACATCAGTAGCACCCCCCACCCATACAGTACAGACGTTTGCTAGGCAACAGAACGAGATTGCACCCAGGGGCGGATTTAGGGGGGGGGGGCGGCCCGGCACCGCTCCCCCCCCCAGAAAAAAAAAGAAAAAAAAGAGAGAAAAAGAAAAAAATGATAGCCCAGAATGCCTCAAATGTTATGTTCGGCCGTCTAGAACACAAAAATTTCGCGGGGGCATGTCCCAGACCCCCTACGACAGTGTTGTCTCAATCGCCCCAACTTTCGGCCCCACTTCTGGCCCCCTCCCCTTTTGGACATTTCCCTGGCACCTTCCTTCCCAGGTGTAATTACATTGGTATATTGTTAGCTAACCTGTTATGTGTGTTTCTTTGTGAAAATGAGTACCGCGGCGTACTCATTTTCACAAAGCATTTGCATCCCCTCTTGGAAAGAGGGAACTTCGAAATAATTGTCTCCATATCTTCGCTATTTAAATGAATCACCGTAATTTAGCTTACACTTATGCATTTAGGGAGCACTTAAAATGTACAATAATCATTTCACTACCCGACAACCTCCAATCTTTGTTCATGCATTAGGCCTATATAATAGTTTCATCTTGCTGTACTGTGACTCCAACATCACTGGCGCATGGTAACAACCAACTGACGAACTGACTGCAGACCATTTCCGTCACACATTACTCTCCATATAACACAGCACCCCCTAGTTCCGTCACCTCTGGGTGTATAAAGTGTATTAAGGTTTTTGGAAGCGCACTGAAAAACTAAGTTCAGGTGCGGCCATCAGTGCTAAATCAAAAATACGTTGGCCTCCAACGTTTAACACCGTTTTAACACGTCATTTTGACATAGGGCCTCAGACCAATCAAATTTGTAGACGTGTTTCTGAATATCCATGGCAACGACGAAAGCAAAACAGTTCGTTTTTTGTACAATGTGCATTTTATTTTAAAATACTGTAGGTCCATATCTTTACATCAATTTACGCGCCGGACACATAGGTGTAACGTGTCAGAATGTATAAAATTGATGTTGATTTTTAGAACTTTGTTTTGAAGTTTCAAAGTAAATTGAATTAAACTCATAATGATTTAGCAAACACCACCGCGTGAAAATAATTCAGAACGTGACTTATACGGTAACGCAGATCGTTATCTGGTAACGCGTTCTACTTGATACATTTTACGGGTTTTGAAACAGATTAAACGCAATTTTAAACGGAAATAAGCCATCATCATAGAAGTGTTACATTACAGACGGTTCGAGCTTGGGGCTAAAACTTTGCGATAGGAATTCGTTCTTGTCTGAATATTCGACATCCAATAACGAACAGTAATGTTCCCATTGCGATTGAAAGTGGGAGCTGGAATATTGCTACCTGTTTTGAATTAGTGGGATAAGACAGTCATTGCCTAAGGGTTTCTTTGCTGATATAAATTCGTATTATTTTCTTGAACCCTGTGTGCAATAATCTCATTAAAGTTTTAAGACACATTTTTCGAAATAAATTTTATGGTTGCTAGATTTCAAACAAATAGGAAATTACAGGTTACAAAGTTTATCCATCTGATAACAAACGTGTTCTTGATTGCACTTTATTGCAACTCTCATTCCAATAGTATCTTGTTCTCGCCGGTAACCGCCAATTAAGTCGACTGGCATGATGTAGCTCCACCCAGGGGCCCGTGTATTTGCATACTGCGCAAAGCCGAATTCTAGAGTGCCAATAAGCTGGAGCGGAGGAAAGTGGTTTTGTGTTGCGCTGTCCAGCATGCAGTGAAGTGCCCTAGATCCGGAAGTAGAAAAACCTGGCAAAGACTCAAGGAAAAGCCCAGCGTATCATTCATCATCATCGCTCGGATCGAGTGAGGCACGGTGCCAAATAAAGACGATGCGCACTCCGTCTGTTCTGCTAGTGGGACCCGTTCTCTGTTGGTTTTGGTGTTTTTCCAGAATAAGAGCAGAGGTTGGAAATGTTGACAGCAGAATCGGTCGTGATGAATCAGACCAGGCAACAACTGTCTCATGTTCTGGTAGAGGTAAGATTAGATTAGTTTCCAGCCGTTAATCATGCAATTTAATTATCGCTTTAATTATTTCCATCCATGTGGATGGAGCATGTTTGGAGCCGAATGACATAGAAGCCTATGCTATTTGCGACACATGCATAACAATCGTTTAGTTTCAGTTAGCATTTGATCAATGGGAAGGTTTGAATCTATAAAGACAGTTAATTGTTTCATTTTAATAGGGCCTATAACTATAAAAACAAATTGCTTTTATGCCAACTTTGAGTTTATTTTCTCCTTTACTTTCTGGTAACCCAAAGTTTCTATGGTAAAGAAGTCAATAAAGCTCTTACGTACCCATTTCTGCTCCTATTTAAACTCTCAAAATATTAACCCAATCAATATATTCAGTTAAATTCAATATTTAAATATATGTATATATTATCTACATGCAAATTATTATTTCAATATGTTTCTATAGCATTATCCCAAGTCCATTCAACATATTTTCTGAATGGTAATCATAAACACAATTCTTGTCCCAGTAGCTTAATCAAATACATTATCTGATACGGTATATCCAATATGCTACGTCATAAGCCTACATTACGCGTTTTTCAGTGGTTTGTCTCTACTACTCCCACCCCTGGTTACGCGCCAATGCCTTTCGAAGTTAATCCGAGCATCCGAGAGAAAGCAAAGAGGCAGATCAGAATTGGGTGGATCCTCATCCATCTTTCATGACATACTGTTGACGTATCGTATTGGCATGTTGCCCATTCCAGGATACGGTACTAGTAATAGGCCTAGTTTAGATTAGGTGGATAAACCCGGCTCAACTCACCGGGTTTATCCAACTGTCAGTCTGAACTAGGTGGCTTACCTCAAGTCAGGCTGTGTTCCTATAGTAAATAGGCCTGGCCTTATTTTTGAATATTGGAAAACTGAGGGGAAAAGGGGCGTAACCGCCCATTTTTACACATTTTTCCCACTAGTTTTTAAATATTCAAACATCTGTCTCTCATTCACCGTTTTCAGTTTTTGATCAAACTACTTTTTTCTGTCTTAGAAAAATCAGTTCTACAACATATCAAACATTTTTTTTCCTCCGGAGCCTAACTTTAAAGACCACTTTTGGGACCTGGATTTCCAAGGAATATTTTTCAGCTTTGATCTTTAACTAATTAGAATATTAAATAAAGATGAAATACAGTTGTTAATTTGGGACCATAGAAAATTGGAAGTGGTTTTTAATTGGAGGGGTTTTAATACAGGGCGACCTGTATTATTTGTGACTGGATAGATAAATTATTCAAGTTTAAGTGAATATCGGTACATACATAGGTAAAATATAAAGTTTCCCTGCAGTATTCAGCAGATAACGTGGAGTCGATGATCTTATTGTCCACTCCCCTAGCTGGGACAATAAGATCGTTAATCGTTAAAATACGATTATTTTGATTATGTATGGTGTAATTTCCGGCTATATCGTACCACTCTAAACCAGCATTGTGTTTATCAACAAGCTGATGATGAGTGTCCTCCATACTCTACCAAATTATTTATGAGGCTTGAGCTGCCGGATTTTGAATTTTGCCCGGATTAAACCTTGAAATCTGAAGGCAAAAGGGCCTGCATCGTAAACACCAAAGCACACAACTTCGCTTTATTTTCATAGTAAACACGTTGCTGACTGCTTCCAAGGAGGTATAACACCCCACATGTGGAGGTGGATGTAGATGTCTTGCTGGGGAAGGGAGGTGCCCATCAAGGAGCCGAACAAAAGGGTGTTGGGGCATTTTCTTAAGTCAAGCACCAAGTTATTATATATATATTTTTTCTAATGCTGGGAGCGATCGCCTCTTTCGCCACCTCTCTATGGATCCGCCACTGACAAAAACCGTTAGTATAACTCTTCATAGTGAAACTCATTCTCGAAAGGCTCCGAGTTCGTTACAATACCTGGATTTAGATAATGGATAGGCCAAATATATTACATAACTAAAATCACCTTGAGCCATAAAGAAGATAATACCGTAATTTGAAAGATATCTGGTGGTATTAAGGATACCCATTGCAGTCTACTTCCGTACGTTTGATTGACCGGTGGTTTACATTACAAACCACAAGGTTTATTTATAATGGAAACATAAAAAACATGTGTGTTAAATATATGGACCTACGTTTGTCTTGAGCTAATGAATTTGAACAATATAATTCAATATTTGAAGGTAACTTGATAATGGTTTGGAGGTTATCTACAGATTTCCGTACCATTTTATGGGTGGCAATATCGTAACGTGTATTTATTTATACACTAACAAAAATACAGTGTGTTCCAGATAATAATGTTTGTGATGAACTAGTGAACTTTGCTTGTTCCAGCCTTAAAAAGAACATTTGAACAATAATTAACCGATATAGGCCTAGGTCTATTGTCTCGTTGGCCTAATTCTCGTAGTGAATCAGCGAAAGCTGAATTGTTTTGACATGTGTTTCGTCAGAAGTTCACCAGTTATTTTATCTTTTATGAGAATTTTGCCAAAATTGAATTCTGAACCACTCATTCCAATCCAAATTTATTGGCTGCCTATGGCTCCAACTTACAACAATAGATGAAAACAGGCTTTCTAACACATTTCGTTTTTCCAAAATTTAAGTTAAAAACAGGTCATAAAATTTGAAGTTCAGTCTCGCCAAGAGGCATTATGCATGCGGTAACTCTGGGATGTGGTCTTCAATCAGACTCGGTATATATTTCTTTTCTGATGTAAGCCAATGTCTTCGACCCACTGGAAGGCGAATACCTTTCCAACGTTACTTGGGCGTCACTAGAAAAACATTAATGCTGAACAATTTCTTTGGGTTTTGGAACAATCGTTTGGTGCACCGGGTATATAACATAAAGAATGTAGCATTTACAGAGAATTATATTTTTTATACCGGTACCGGTATTACTGTTTAGTATGATGATGACTTGAAGTAAAAAATCCCAAAGTGCTACCGTTCGTATAGATGTTAAAACATTTTTTTTGATTAAAACATCGTCTCTCGGTACGATAGTTATTATATTTCAGATTTCTCATTCTTACAAGGAGCTATCCTGACCTGAAGCAGTGTCGGTGTACAGATAATGCCATGATGTCAAGGTTGTGACGATGGCAATTTAAGCATCTTATTGTACGATAGTACGAAATCGTTTAAAGATATGAATCTTATTTTGTACTCGTATCATTTTGTATCGTGGTTGTCTCGTTAAAAACAACGTATAGGCCTATAGGCCTACACTTTCACTTGAATGGAGTCCCGAGTGGAGTGGAGTTGAATAATTTAGTAGTAAAATGCTTGCCTTCTAATCCCAGGGTCCTGGGTTCAATTCCTGTCAAGACTTTTTCTCACGACTAAAAACAACTCCACTCCCCAAGTCTCATAAAGAAACTAACTTCGCTGATAAAAACATCACATTATTTATTTTATATAAGAAGCCTCCTGAATATCAGATACCCTTCTAGAATACACTGGAACGGTCACACTCTAAGATTTTAAACCAAAAATATGCAGGTTCAAATCAATATCTTTTTGTTTATGATTAAAGAAAATTCCTATTTTGTCAGATATTTTTATTCAATCTATCGTTTTAGGTGTGCCTACATGGAGAAGATATGTATTATAGCTCCATGCTTAAATTAGTCTACTTGTTAATGGCCTCACTAGAATTCTAATTAGGCATATTTCCGTCGTTGTGATTATAATTTGTACCTCAACCATTGTCAATAAAGCAGAAATGCAGGCTCCAGAGGGAAAGAAATTGATAATTGTTCTTTTTTTCAACACTTTAATTTGTTTTAATAATAACATTTTAGGGGGATTTTATCAATTACAATAATTGTGATTTTCATTAGACCTGTTTATTGCTTTGTAAACATTTAATTTTTTTAATTTGAATAAATGATAAAATATATTAATTAAGCCTAGGTGGAATTAAGATTCAAGATTCCATTTATTGTCATTGTCATATAACATAGGCCTAGTACATGAAATGTTTATTCCAGAGATAAGAATACACAAAATATACATAAATAACAAAATAACAAGACGATAAATATAAAACTATACATACAGTGCAAACAAATATATACTGTAAATAGCAGTTTATGTGTAAAAGGGTGTTTTTTTTTTGTTGATATTTAGAATTTGTATTTCTTCGACAGCAAGTAACACCACCTCAACTTTTAAAAGCAATTGTTTAGTTCTTTGGTAATGATAATGTATAGAAATCAATATCAATGCCTCCTTTTTAAATGTATTTATATGTTTTTATATAATGCAATCAAACTCAGCCATTCGCTGTCGATTTATAAATTATGTACCGAAATAAATAAATTAGTTTATCGTTAGCTAAACGGTGCAGATAATGCTATGTCTTTAATGAAACCAGCGTCCTCTCCATTATAATTGGATCAAAATGATGATGAATGCTTGTTAATCTTTTGAGGACATGGCCTTTTTCACCTATAGTATGACCTGTGTGATATAGTCTGCCGACCCGGGTGATAGTCTGCCTGGCCAGGTGCCGGATGCCGGATCACGTTGGCCCCAGGCTCAGCTGAGAATATAACTTTAATCTATCACACCAGCTTGAAGAGTAATTTCTGCAGCGATGTGATTGTGACAATGTTTTGCTGTTTTAAGTGCAACATACAATTGAATAAAATTAATTCATTGGACAAAAGGCGGTAGAGATTCACACAAATTTATTTTCAAGATGCTGTTGAACAGAGGTTCTATATAGATAATCACTTTTTTTTTCTTTTATTTCTTTTTCCATTTATAAAGCACGTTTTATAAGAGCACCGAGGCTGAAATTGCTTAGAAATAAGAACAAATTGAGGCTGAGGTAACATTTCAAAATACTTTTTTTTAATAGAACAAGAGCGACCGCTAACCGGTCCGCGCGTTCCTTCACGCTTAAGGTACAGGCGCAAGTTAATAAAATTATTGGGTTTTTTGGAAGAGCTAATAAGATAGCA